GTCCCAAAAAGTCGTTTGAACGCCAAGATGGTTTAGTGCTAATAGACACTCTTTCGTTGTGTCATGTAAATTTTTAACTGCTGCCACAGTTGATGTGAATGATGGCTGATTTAGAAGTTCATCGATTAACGTGGACGCCAAGACCCTTTTATTATTATAACGGTCTTGCAGTAATGTCCAAGCTGCCGAATAATTGTCCTCCGTTATGCTGAAATGACTTATCAATTTTTCAGCTTCACCTGTCACATGTGATTTCAAGTACCACATTTTTTGAGCAGCTGGTAATGGCTGATTGTCTACCATTTGTGTAAACAAGTCAAAAAATTGCCTCCATTTTAAGTAATTCCCATTAAAATTTGGGATTGTTACCTTTGGCAATGGCAATGAGGACCGCATGTTTGGTTCTGCTACTGTTGCTTGTTTGTTTCGTAGTTGATCCAATTTTATGGACAACTCTATCAAACATTGTTGTACCAAATCTTCAATTTGGTAATACTCATCTTGATTGAATCCTGACATCAGTGGATTTTCAAAGTTTTCCCAGAGTTCATCATGCAAACATCCCAATTGGTTCCAATGTTGCATGATTGTGTTTGATTTAATTTCGTAATATTGAAGTAGCTGTATGCCTTCGCTCTCTGACAAGCTCTCTACTAATCTTTTTAGAGCTGCCATTCGAGCAGATGTTTTTCTTATCAAACCATTTGTCGTAGCCACTAGTAGCGGCTGTGATGCCTTTTGGTTACTAGCAGCTTCACCAAAGTTGTCTGTTGCTTTGATTGTTGCCATCGTTATTCTGGAGTTTTTGCCAAACGTGCTTCAAAATGTTCTTCGAATGCTGAATGCTGAAACTTAACCGCTAACTGTTGATTGTTGACTGTTGCTGCGTCGAACCAATCCTGTGCTGCTGTCCGTTTCACGGGGTCACCAAAAAATGTACGATCAAACCAAAATGTCTGATCAACGTTGGAATCAACTATTTGCAAGCACTGAACACTTGAATCCAGTACTTATGTTGATTCTATTTAAACAAGAAAACCACTGAGCACTTGAATCCAGTGATTTGACGATTGTCCTAAATTATCCTGATTACTGAACACTTGAATCCAGTAGTCAGGTGCTTATATGGTGTAAATTTGGTACTTGAACCAACTCTACAAGCTATTAGAACGAACAGAAAAGAATCGATAACGAATGTGGCTTCGCATCAATTGAATTGTCAAAAATTCAATTGTGCCTTTTATTTAAAATTGATAATTAATTTACAACAAATAAATTAACTAAAATAACCTTGACCATGCATGCCAAACAATGAACTTATTGCAAACTGCAAGAGTGCATTTTCTTGCAGACGAAATTTGACGCTTTTGTTTTCATGTGCCAACAGAAGCGTATGACGTATTTTGGGAATTGCATTGACAACGTTATTTTTTACACCAAATATATTTAACACAATTATTACAATACAAATAAAAATAACAAATTATTCATACAAAATTAATAAAAACAAAATATTCATATATAATAATATAATATAATATAAACAAATATTCAACATTCTCGCCCGCGTTGAACAACCGTTCAACAATATGAGCCTCTAGCTGTCAGGTAGTCAATCCGACTATATGTTGATAACGAATTCTCGTGACTGTCGACGTGGCATGGGTATAGGTGTCGTGCGGGTGGCTTCTTTATCGGATGGAATTTCAACATGTTTTTTCTGCAATTTCTTCTTCATCATGATTATGATTAATATCAGCCCTATAACGAGTGCAGCGTAAGCTATGGTGAAGCTGTGGTACTTGTGTGACTGAAATTGATTTGGAAGATCATTTATCTGGTATGACTGTAACACCTTCTGCAATACTGTGAGTTCTTTAAGCTGTTGATTGTATTGGTTGTTGCGTACTATTGACAGTGTACTGTTGCCGCTGTAAGCATCTGATGTCTTCATAGGGGGTTGTAGCCTTAATTCGGAGATTGTACCAAGACTACTGTATGAATATCTTGCCGTGCTTGCAATTATTTGTTGTCCTTGCACGGAAACAAAGTTGTGTTTAAGCACGCAGTCTGGATCGATCGTCAATAATCCTGAACCTTTTAGATTTAGTGGAATGATTTCCTTATTACATACTGCAGTTGCTCGTGAAGATGTTGATGTCGCATAAATCCATTGATTTTTGTGATTCAATGGAATCCAGGTCAGCTTGTTGATAGTGTGTTTCAACCGACAATTTGGTATTGTGTTGTTGTTGAATAGGTTGACCTCACACGCACATACTTCGGAACCAAAATTGTATCGTATACGGACGTTGGTGCAAAGAAATTCCTCTTCCTTAATGGTCTCACAAAGACTTAATTCGGATTTTATAAGAGGAAAATATTGATCATGCTGCGTATTAATAGCCAAAATAGAACTGCAGGAGTCAATTACCGTCATGGAGTCATTTACCCAGTTCGGGATTGGAATTAGCTGAAACAATTCAAATCGTTCATGTTCAATCAAGGGTAATGTTATACTAAAAACTGCATGCTGCTGTGTGATTCCACCTTTAACCTTCATTACTCTGTAAAGGGATATTAACTCATCTTCTGGCATCGGTAATTCTAATGATGGTGATAAATGAAGTTTGATTTGATTAACTTCCTTTTGTAATTGTGTTGGTGTCAATAACAATGGATTCACTTTTCCATGATGAGTATCAATTAGAGCATCTATATGTAATGGCAGATTGTATCTTCTGTAGATTATGTGCTACCAGTGTTAATTGAATGGCTCCTGCATTGGAAACTTGATTGAGCCGTAATTGATTTACCTCTCTATTTGTATCTTTTATTGAATGTATCAATGCCTTTATTTCATTGTCAATGTGGTCAAAACCTTCTTGAACTGCTATTTTATCTTTCTTCAATATGTTGATTGTTGAATCGACAACTGATGTCTGATTCTTAAATAGCGTCAATAATTGTATTTCATTTGGTTTCACTTCTGAAATTATATTTGACATTCCTTTGGCATTTTCTGAGTCTAATACTCCAAACAGTGAATGTGCAATATTGCCTACAAGATCAATTGCTCCTCTTTTGAAGCGATGATCATGAAGTAATTTTTCATCGAGTTGTAGTTCGGATTCAATATGTTTAAAGTGATTAACTGTATTCGCACATGATGCGTTTGGTTTCATTTGTTGACAAGCTTGATGTAGCGACATTATTCCTGTGTTTAGAGCTGCTGCTTCCGTCCAATAAAGACTTAAATCATAATTAACTAGTAGATTCCATTCAGTGGTTTATATGGCAGTTGTGCCCAGATTTTCAAAGTGAATACCCAATTTTGTGCCAAACCTTTTATTGTCAATTGGAGATCCTATTACTATTGGCAATATCAGTAATAGTGTAAGTAATACAAAACAGTACAAATTGGTCGGCAGTTTTCTACGTTTTGTCTTGGGCTCTTCATACGATTCTTTTTTATCTTCAATAATTACGTTGTCAGGAGGTATTTCGTGATCAGCTTCAGCCATTGTTGGTTGATCATCTGTATTAACAGGCAGTTTGAATTCTTGCCGCCCTGTTAGCTACAAATGTTTGAAATGATAAAGACTGTGAATTAATCCAAGTAAACACAATTTCTGAATCTGTCCACAAAAATACCGGCTGGTCCTTCTCTTGAAGATCGCTTTTGACTCTTGCTGAGAGTTCCGCTGCTAGGACTGCCGCACATAACTCTAGTCGCGGTAGCGTTTGTTTTCTGAGTGGTGCTACTCTTGACTTTGCACATAATACTATTATTCTACCATCCTTTAAAATTGCTCTGACATATGCTGCAGCACCAAATGCCTTTTCAGATGCATCAGCAAAAATGTGTAGTTGTGTTGATGATGGAACCTCGCCTCTGAAGATATGTCTTGCCACTTGAAAGTTTTTTAGAGTACTTAAGTTTTCTCTAAATGTTGACCATGTTGTACAAAGATCTGTAGGAAGTGGTTCATCCCAAGATAATTTCAACTGCCATAAGTGTTGTATGAAAATCTTTGCTTTGACTATTACTGGAGCTAATAAACCAAGTGGGTCGAACAGTCTAGCTAAATCAGAACTAACGACTCTCGTCGTGATTATTCCTTCAGTAACCATTTGGACCTTAATTCCAAATAAATCCGCTTTGGGCAACCAAAATAGTCCCAGCGTTTTGATTGACTCGTTATTATCATTAGTAAAATCTAGATTTACCTCTTGATCATCTTGAGAAATGTTTTTCAAAAGTTGAGGATGGTTTGCACTCCATTTCCGTAGATAAAACTGATGCTTCTTTAAAATATGGATTAATTGCCTTTGAGCTTCAATAGCCGTAATTAAACTATCTGATCCACCGAGCCCATCGTCAACGTAGAAATTGTCACACAGGATTTGAGCTCCTAATGGATAATTCACTTTATTTTCTAATGCTATCTTTTGCAGACATCTTGTTGCTAGGTAAGGAGCTGCTCGAGTTCCAAATGTAATTGTGTTTAGCTGATAATAACGAATCGTTGAATTTGGACTGCTTCTCCAAATGATAAGTTGATAGCGTCGATCTTCAGGATTTATCAAAACTTGACGATACATTTTCTCGATATCTGTGGTAAAAACAAACCGTGGTCGCCTAAACCGGAGCAGAATTGAAAAGAGTTCACTTTGAACTGTCGGTCCGTTATACATTAAATCATTCAACGAGTGTCCAGATGTAGTTTTGGCTGATGCGTCAAACATCACTCGAAGTTTAGTAGTTGTACTATCTGGTTTTAGTACGCAATGATGAGGAATGAAATATCTTGGAGTCAACATGGAATCCAAGTTTACTTCAGTCATGTGACCCAATCGCTCATACTCTTCCATAAACTAGACATATTGTTTCCGCAAAACATCATTTTTTGCTAGTCGTCGTTCAAGACTGATGAATCTTCTCCAAGCTGTTTCTTGAGATTTCCCTAACGTCAATGAGTTTTCCAGAAACGGCAACCTTACCACAAAACGTCCTTCTTTATTTGTATGGACGTTCTGCACAAAATGAGATTCGCATAATTTTTCTTCTTTGGATAATGTCCTTTCTGTTGTATTCACCTCATCCATTCGCCATAATCGTTCAATTGCATCTTCTAACGATGAATTATTATCAACAACCTCCGCCCCAAAGCCAAAAACTGCACATAAAACGTTTGATGTGTCTGTATTTGATGCAACCTTGCCACTGACAATCCAGCCAAGTGTAGAATTTTGCAAGACTGGAAGCCCAGGAGCAAGCGTGATTTTACCCTTTTTTAACAGACTGAAATAGAACTCCGCACCGAGTAAAATATCAATTTTCTCTTGTTGGAAAAATGTTGGATCTGCTAACTGAATGCTGAATGGAAATATCGTAGCTGCAACTTGGTTGAGGTGGAACTATATTTGGAAGCACAAACGCTTCGACTTCTGTAGTAAACCTTGAATTAAGTGATTGCAATTTGATGTTAACTCGCTGCGTTGAATTTTTTTGCACCTTTCCTATCCCTTCTATGCACAATAACGATTTTGTTTTTGATATATTGAGCCTTTTGACAAGACGCTCAGAGACGATGACCTGTGGATGTATTCGCTGTCGCTGTGGTAACTGCGGTGTTGTACCCACTTGAGCTAGGTTGAATGTTCTGTTTTGTTTGGTTGTTAACTTCCAAATGTAGCAACGTGTTATGCTTTTTATTACATTTGGTACAACTTCTTGATGAACATTTGTTCACCACATGATCATTTCTGAAACAGTTAAAACAGAGCTGTTGATTTTTCACCCAATCCAATCGTTGAGATGGTGAAAATTGCAAGAATTTACGGCAATGATACAGTGGGTGCCTGTCTACATTGCACAGTTTGCAATTGTTGTTTCCTTTAGAAACTGTTACAGCCGATGACACTGAGTTATTTCGATTTGCTTTAATTTTTATAGCCACCTTATCTTTTTGTTCTACAACTTCCATCAGTTGGAACTGTAGTTCTAAAAAGGCTAAAAACTCCTGAATGTTTTGTATCTCTTTTGGTTTTGCCAGAGATTGCTCATATCTAATGAGCATCGCCTGATCGAGTTTTTTAATTAGTACTTGTAACAAAATTGGGTCCCAAAAAGTCGTTTGAACGCCAAGATGGTTTAGTGCTAATAGACACTCTTTCGTTGTGTCATGTAAATTTTTAACTGCTGCCACAGTTGATGTGAATGATGGCTGATTTAGAAGTTCATCGATTAACGTGGACGCCAAGACCCTTTTATTATTATAACGGTCTTGCAGTAATGTCCAAGCTGCCGAATAATTGTCCTCCGTTATGCTGAAATGACTTATCAATTTTTCAGCTTCACCTGTCACATGTGATTTCAAGTACCACATTTTTTGAGCACCTGGTAGTGGCTGATTGTCTACCATTTGTGTAAACAAGTCAAAAAATTGCCTCCATTTTAAGTAATTCCCATTAAAATTTGGGATTGTTACCTTTGGCAATGGCAGTGAGGACCGCATGTTTGGTTCTGCTACTGTTGCTTATTTGTTTCGTAGTTGATCTAATTTTATGGACAACTCTATCAAACATTGTTGTACCAAATCTTCAATTTGGTAATACTCATCTTGATTGAATCCTGACATCAGTGGATTTTCAAAGTTTTCCCAGAGTTCATCATGCAAACATCCCAATTGGTTCCAATGTTGCATGATTGTGTTTGATTTAATTTCGTAATATTGAAGTAGCTGTATGCCTTCGCTCTCTGACAAGCTCTCTACTAATCTTTTTAGAGCTGCCATTCGAGCAGATGTTTTTCTTATCAAACCATTTGTCGCAGCCACTAGTAGCGGCTGTGATGCCTTTTGGTTACTAGCAGCTTCGCCAAAGTTGTCTGTTGCTTTGATTGTTGCCATCGTTATTCTGGAGTTTTTGCCAAACGTGCTTCAAAATGTTCTTCGAATGCTGAATGCTGAAACTTAACCGCTAACTGTTGATTGTTAACTGTTGCTGCGTCGAACCAATCCTGTGCTGCTGTCCGTTTCACGGGGTCACCAAAAAATGTACGATCAAACCAAAATGTCTGATCAACATTGGAATCAACTATTTGCAAGCACTGAACACTTGAATCCAGTACTTATATTGATTCTATTTAAACAAGAAAACCACTGAGCACTTGAACCCAGTGATTTGACGATTGTCCTAAATTATCCTGATTACTGAACACTTGAATCCAGTAGTCAGGTGCTTATATGGTGTAAATTTGGTACTTGAACCAACTCTACAAGCTATTAGAACGAACAGAAAAGAATCGATAACGAATGTGGCTTCGCATCAATTGAATTGTCAAAAATTCAATTGTGCCTTTTATTTAAAATTGATAATTAATTTACAACAAATAAATTAACTAAAATAACCTTGACCATGCATGCCAAACAATGAACTTATTGCAAACTGCAAGAGTGCATTTTCTTGCAGACGAAATTTGACGCTTTTGTTTTCATGTGCCAACAGAAGCGTATGACGTATTTTGGGCATTGCATTGACAACGTTATTTTTTACACCAAATATATTTAACACAATTATTACAATACAAATAAAAATAACAAATTATTCATACAAAATTAATAAAAACAAAATATTCATATATAATAATATAATATAATATAAATAAATATTCAACATTCTCGCCCGCGTTGAACAACCGTTCAACAATATGAGCCTCTAGCTGTCAGGTAGTCAATCCGACTATATGTTGATAACGAATTCTCGTGACTGTCGACGTGGCATGGGTATAGGTGTCGTGCGGGTGGCTTCTTTATCGGATGGAATTTCAACATGTTTTTTCTGCAATTTCTTCTTCATCATGATTATGATTAATATCAGCCCTATAACGAGTGCAGCGTAAGCTATGGTGAAGCTGTGGTACTTGTGTGACTGAAATTGATTTGGAAGATCATTTATCTGGTATGACTGTAACACCTTCTGCAATACTGTGAGTTCTTTAAGCTGTTGATTGTATTGGTTGTTGCGTACTATTGACAGTGTACTGTTGCCGCTGTAAGCATCTGATGTCTTCATAGGGGGTTGTAGCCTTAATTCGGAGATTGTACCAAGACTACTGTATGAATATCTTGCCGTGCTTGCAATTATTTGTTGTCCTTGCACGGAAACAAAGTTGTGTTTAAGCACGCAGTCTGGATCGATCGTCAATAAACCTGAACCTTTTAGATTTAGTGGAATGATTTCCTTATTACATACTGCAGTTGCTCGTGAAGATGTCGATGTCGCATAAATTCATTGATTTTTGTGATTCAATGGAATCCAGGTCAGCTTGTTGATAGTGTGTTTCAACCGACAATTTGGTATTGTGTTGTTGTTGAATAGGTTGACCTCACACGCACATACTTCGGAACCAAAATTGTATCATATGCGGACGTTGGTGCAAAGAAATTCCTCTTCCTTAATGGTCTCACAAAGACTTAATTCGGATTTTATAAGAGGAAAATATTGATCATGCTCCGTATTAATAGCCAAAATAGAACTGCAGGAGTCAATTACCATCATGGAGTCATTTACCCAGTTCGGGATTGGAATTAGCTGAAACAATTCAAATCGTTCATGTTCAATCAAGGGTAATGTTATACTAAAAACTGCATGCTGCTGTGTGATTCCACCTTTAACCTTCATTACTCTGTAAAGGGATATTAACTCATCTTCTGGCATCGGTAATTCTAATGATGGTGATAAATGAAGTTTGATTTGATTAACTTCCTTTTGTAATTGTGTTGGTGTCAATAACAATGGATTCACTTTTCCATGATGAGTATCAATTAGAGCATCTATATGTAATGGCAGATTGTATCTTCTGTAGATTATGTGCTACCAGTGTTAATTGAATGGCTCCTGCATTGGAAACTTGATTGAGCCGTAATTGATTTACCTCTCTATTTGTATCTTTTATTGAATGTATCAATGCCTTTATTTCATTGTCAATGTGGTCAAAACCTTCTTGAACTGCTATTTTATCTTTCTTCAATATGTTGATTGTTGAATCGACAACTGATGTCTGATTCTTAAATAGCGTCAATAATTGTATTTCATTTGGTTTCACTTCTGAAATTATATTTGACATTCCTTTGGCATTTTCTGAGTCTAATACTCCAAACAGTGAATGTGCAATATTGCCTACAAGATCAATTGCTCCTCTTTTGAAGCGATGATCATGAAGTAATTTTTCATCGAGTTGTAGTTCGGATTCAATATGTTTAAAGTGATTAACTGTATTCGCACATGATGCGTTTGGTTTCATTTGTTGACAAGCTTGATGTAGCGACATTATTCCTGTGTTTAGAGCTGCTGCTTCCGTCCAATAAAGACTTAAATCATAATTAACTAGTAGATTCCATTCAGTGGTTTATATGGCAGTTGTGCCCAGATTTTCAAAGTGAATACCCAATTTTGTGCCAAACCTTTTATTGTCAATTGGAGATCCTATTACTATTGGCAATATCAGTAATAGTGTAAGTAATACAAAACAGTACAAATTGGTCGGCAGTTTTCTACGTTTTGTCTTGGGCTCTTCATACGATTCTTTTTTATCTTCAATAATTACGTTGTCAGGAGGTATTTCGTGATCAGCTTCAGCCATTGTTGGTTGATCATCTGTATTAACAGGCAGTTTGAATTCTTGCCGCCCTGTTAGCTACAAATGTTTGAAATGATAAAGACTGTGAATTAATCCAAGTAAACACAATTTCTGAATCTGTCCACAAAAATACCGGCTGGTCCTTCTCTTGAAGATCGCTTTTGACTCTTGCTGAGAGTTCCGCTGCTAGGACTGCCGCACATAACTCTAGTCGCGGTAGCGTTTGTTTTCTGAGTGGTGCTACTCTTGACTTTGCACATAATACTATTATTCTACCATCCTTTAAAATTGCTCTGACATATGCTGCAGCACCAAATGCCTTTTCAGATGCATCAGCAAAAATGTGTAGTTGTGTTGATGATGGAACCTCGCCTCTGAAGATATGTCTTGCCACTTGAAAGTTTTTTAGAGTACTTAAGTTTTCTCTAAATGTTGACCATGTTGTACAAAGATCTGTAGGAAGTGGTTCATCCCAAGATAATTTCAACTGCCATAAGTGTTGTATGAAAATCTTTGCTTTGACTATTACTGGAGCTAATAAACCAAGTGGGTCGAACAGTCTAGCTAAATCAGAACTAACGACTCTCGTCGTGATTATTCCTTCAGTAACCATTTGGACCTTAATTCCAAATAAATCCGCTTTGGGCAACCAAAATAGTCCCAGCGTTTTGATTGACTCGTTATTATCATTAGTAAAATCTAGATTTACCTCTTGATCATCTTGAGAAATGTTTTTCAAAAGTTGAGGATGGTTTGCACTCCATTTCCGTAGATAAAACTGATGCTTCTTTAAAATATGGATTAATTGCCTTTGAGCTTCAATAGCCATAATTAAACTATCTGATCCACCGAGCCCATCGTCAACGTAGAAATTGTCACACAGGATTTGAGCTCCTAATGGATAATTCACTTTATTTTCTAATGCTATCTTTTGCAGACATCTTGTTGCTAGGTAAGGAGCTGCTCGAGTTCCAAATGTAATTGTGTTTAGCTGATAATAACGCTTCGTTGAATTTGGACTGCTTCTCCAAATGATAAGTTGATAGCGTCGATCTTCAGGATTTATCAAAACTTGACGATACATTTTCTCGATATCTGTGGTAAAAACAAACCGTGGTCGCCTAAACCGGAGCAGAATTGAAAAGAGTTCACTTTGAACTGTCGGTCCGTTATACATTAAATCATTCAACGAGTGTCCAGATGTAGTTTTGGCTGATGCGTCAAACATCACTCGAAGTTTAGTAGTTGTACTATCTGGTTTTAGTACGCAATGATGAGGAATGAAATATCTTGGAGTCAACATGGAATCCAAGTTTACTTCGGTCATGTGACCCAATCGCTCATACTCTTCCATAAACTAGACATATTGTTTCCGCAAAACATCATTTTTTGCTAGTCGTCGTTCAAGACTGATGAATCTTCTCCAAGCTGTTTCTTGAGATTTCCCTAACGTCAATGAGTTTTCCAGAAACGGCAACCTTACCACAAAACGTCCTTCTTTATTTGTATGGACGTTCTGCACAAAATGAGATTCGCATAATTTTTCTTCTTTGGATAATGTCCTTTCTGTTGTATTCACCTCATCCATTCGCCATAATCGTTCAATTGCATCTTCTAACGATGAATTATTATCAACAACCTCCGCCCCAAAGCCAAAAACTGCACATAAAACGTTTGATGTGTCTGTATTTGATGCAACCTTGCCACTGACAATCCAGCCAAGTGTAGAATTTTGCAAGACTGGAAGCCCAGGAGCAAGCGTGATTTTACCCTTTTTTAACAGACTGAAATAGAACTCCGCACCGAGTAAAATATCAATTTTCTCTTGTTGGAAAAATGTTGGATCTGCTAACTGAATGCTGAATGGAAATATCGTAGCTGCAACTTGGTTGAGGTGGAACTATATTTGGAAGCACAAACGCTTCGACTTCTGTAGTAAACCTTGAATTAAGTGATTGCAATTTGATGTTAACTCGCTGCGTTGAATTTTTTTGCACCTTTCCTATCCCTTCTATGCACAATAACGATTTTGTTTTTGATATATTGAGCCTTTTGACAAGACGCTCAGAGACGATGACCTGTGGATGTATTCGCTGTCGCTGTGGTAACTGCGGTGTTGTACCCACTTGAGCTAGGTTGAATGTTCTGTTTTGTTTGGTTGTTAACTTCCAAATGTAGCAACGTGTTATGCTTTTTATTACATTTGGTACAACTTCTTGATGAACATTTGTTCACCACATGATCATTTCTGAAACAGTTAAAACAGAGCTGTTGATTTTTCACCCAATCCAATCGTTGAGATGGTAAAAATTGCAGAAATTTACGGCAATGATACAGTGGGTGCCTGTCTACATTGCACAGTTTGCAATTGTTGTTTCCTTTAGAAACTGTTACAGCCGATGACACTGAGTTATTTCGATTTGCTTTAATTTTTATAGCCACCTTATCTTTTTGTTCTACAACTTCCATCAGTTGGAACTGTAGTTCTAAAAAGGCTAAAAACTCCTGAATGTTTTGTATCTCTTTTGGTTTTGCCAGAGATTGCTCATATCTAATGAGCATCGCCTGATCGAGTTTTTTAATTAGTACTTGTAACAAAATTGGGTCCCAAAAAGTCGTTTGAACGCCAAGATGGTTTAGTGCTAATAGACACTCTTTCGTTGTGTCATGTAAATTTTTAACTGCTGCCACAGTTGATGTGAATGATGGCTGATTTAGAAGTTCATCGATTAACGTGGACGCCAAGACCCTTTTATTATTATAACGGTCTTGCAGTAATGTCCAAGCTGCCGAATAATTGTCCTCCGTTATGCTGAAATGACTTATCAATTTTTCAGCTTCACCTGTCACATGTGATTTCAAGTACCACATTTTTTGAGCACCTGGTAGTGGCTGATTGTCTACCATTTGTGTAAACAAGTCAAAAAATTGCCTCCATTTTAAGTAATTCCCATTAAAATTTGGGATTGTTACCTTTGGCAATGGCAGTGAGGACCGCATGTTTGGTTCTGCTACTGTTGCTTATTTGTTTCGTAGTTGATCTAATTTTATGGACAACTCTATCAAACATTGTTGTACCAAATCTTCAATTTGGTAATACTCATCTTGATTGAATCCTGACATCAGTGGATTTTCAAAGTTTTCCCAGAGTTCATCATGCAAACATCCCAATTGGTTCCAATGTTGCATGATTGTGTTTGATTTAATTTCGTAATATTGAAGTAGCTGTATGCCTTCGCTCTCTGACAAGCTCTCTACTAATCTTTTTAGAGCTGCCATTCGAGCAGATGTTTTTCTTATCAAACCATTTGTCGCAGCCACTAGTAGCGGCTGTGATGCCTTTTGGTTACTAGCAGCTTCGCCAAAGTTGTCTGTTGCTTTGATTGTTGCCATCGTTATTCTGGAGTTTTTGCCAAACGTGCTTCAAAATGTTCTTCGAATGCTGAATGCTGAAACTTAACCGCTAACTGTTGATTGTTAACTGTTGCTGCGTCGAACCAATCCTGTGCTGCTGTCCGTTTCACGGGGTCACCAAAAAATGTACGATCAAACCAAAATGTCTGATCAACATTGGAATCAACTATTTACAAGCACTGAACACTTGAATCCAGTACTTATGTTGATTCTATTTAAACAAGAAAACCACTGAGCACTTGAACCCAGTGATTTGACGATTGTCCTAAATTATCCTGATTACTGAACACTTGAATCCAGTAGTCAGGTGCTTATATGGTGTAAATTTGGTACTTGAACCAACTCTACAAGCTATTAGAACGAACAGAAAAGAATCGATAACGAATGTGGCTTCGCATCAATTGAATTGTCAAAAATTCAATTGTGCCTTTTATTTAAAATTGATAATTAATTTACAACAAATAAATTAACTAAAATAACCTTGACCATGCATGCCAAACAATGAACTTATTGCAAACTGCAAGAGTGCATTTTCCTGCAGACGAAATTTTGAACGCTTTGTTTTCATTGTGCCAACAAGAAGCGTATGACGTATTTTGGGCATGCATTGAACAACGTTTATTTTTTTACACCAAATATATTTAAACAATTATTACAATTATAAATAAAAATAACAAATTATTCATACAAAATTAATAAAAACAATAATATAATATAATATAAACAAATATTCAACATTCTCCCCCGCGTTGAACAACCGTTCAACAATATGAGCCTCTAGCTGTCAGGTAGTCAGTCCGACTATATGTTGATAACGAATTCTCGTGACTGTCGACGTGGCATGGGTGTAGGTGTTGTGCGGGTGGCTTCTTCATCGGATGGAATTTCAACATGTGTTTTCTGCAATTTCTTCTTCATCATGATTATGATTAATATCAGCCCTATAACGAGTGCAGCGTAAGCTATGGTGAAGCTGTGGTACTTGTGTGACTGAAATTGATTTGGAAGATCATTTATCTGGTATGACTGTAACACCTTCTGCAATACTGTGAGTTCTTTAAGCTGTTGATCGTATTGGTTGTTGCGTACCGTTGACAGTGTACTGTTGCCGCTGTAAGCATCTGATGTCTTCATAGGGGGTTGTAGCCTTAATTCGGAGATTGTATCAAGACTACTGTATGAATATCTTGCCGTGCTTGCAATTATTTGTTGTCCTTGCACGGAAACGAAGTTGTCTTTAAGCACGCAGTCTGGATCGATCGTCAATAAACCTGAACCTTTTAGATTTAGTGATATGATTTCCTTATTACATACTGCAGTTGCTCGTGAAGATGTTGATGTCGCATAAATCCATTGATTTTTGTGATTCAATGGAATCCAGGTCAGCTTGTTGATAGTGTGCTTCAACCGACTATTTGGTATTGTGTTGTTGTTGAATAGGTTGACCTCACACGCACATACTTCGGAACCAAAATTGTATCGTATGCGAACGTTGGTGCAAGGAAATTCCTCTTCCTTAATGGTCTCACAAAGACTTAATTCGGATTT